ACTGAAAACAGATGAAAACTTGCATCAACTTTCTAAACATCTGGGTAGGCTTGTCTAAACAAAACTATTTTTTTTAAGCAAGGGTACAGTGAAGGCACCTGCCTGATATCAATTGGCAGGGAGTTCCAAAGTGTAGGTGCTGCCACACTAAAAGGGGAAGTTCTCACAAATAAGGAATGGGTATGATGTGGCACCTGTGGACAGTGCCAGTTCTGCACTGCTGTGTGTGAGAGAGGGGGAGGGGAGGGAGGGAGAGAGAGAGAGAGAAGGTAGGGCCTGCCTGCTCCACTTCTCCCTGGGTGTCAAAGCTTCAGCCACTAATTGCTGCATCCTGCTAATGCCTCAGAAATGTGTTGTGCTAATTTTCAGGGCTATTCTAATAGCCCCCCCCCATCCTCCACCCTGACACAACTGAAAAGATGCAGCTTGCAGACTGTGATGGGTTTGTTATTTTTAAAAAGCTGTTGTTAGTCAAAAACATTTGCTTCCTTTTGCAAGAGCTCCTTTGACAATAATTTAAGAAGTCTTCTGTGTTGATTCCCCCTGACCCCCTTTCCCTTCCTCCACATGAATGCATGTCAAGCAAAGCTTACCTCTCTTGCGCAGGGCCTAGCCTGCACCAGTAGCACAGAATGAGGACCTGTTACCCAGCTAAACCATCCCGGCAGTTTCAGCACTTCTGGATCAATTTCAGACCTGTGGGGCAAGCGCCTGAGTTTCTATGGCAAACTCTATCCAGGCACGGTAACCTAATAGGACAGTCATTAGCAGGCTGACCTTGGCGGGGAGCGAAGGAGTGCAAACGTCTGGGAGAGAGGCAGCTTCTCTGCAGCTACAGAGGCAACTAGGGAATTTCCCAGCTCTCAAAAGATTTAAGCAGCTTAGAGCTGTTAGGGAAATTACAGGGGGGAGCACATCTTTAAAGTTGTTAAATGTTACAAATATTATGCTTGAATGTATCCTTTTGACTTGACAGCTCAGGGAAGATACCTAGCTTTATAAATCATATAAAATCAACCTCTTTGCAAAGTTCCTCCATTCCAACGCCTTTTGCCCTTGGAAAAAGGACTCTTTCCCCTGCCACCTCCCCAAGATTGAAGACATGTATACACACCTCCTACCCCAGGAAATGCCCAGAGGTGACAATTGCTGGGCTCATTGTTCTCCAATGGAAGCCAAATCTCATCACCAGACTTGCCTCAGGCTCCAGACATGCAAAGGAAGTTCTATTGTACTTTTGGGTGGTGGGTACTTACCTGTAAGACATGTTTGCCTATGCTAATCTTGTGTAACTTTCCCCTTTTGAAGAAGAAGAGAAGAGTTTGGATTTGATATCCCGCTTTATCACTACCCGAAGGAGTCTCAAAGCGGCTAACATTCTCCTTTCCCTTCTTCCCCCACAACAAACACTCTGTGAGGTGAGTGGGGCTGAGAGACTTCAGAGAAGTGTGACTAGCCCAAGGTCACCCAGCAGCTGCATGTGGAGGAGCGGAGACGCGAACCCGGTTCCCCAGATTACGAGACTACTGCTCTTAACCACTACATCACACTGGCTCTGATGTAGCAATGATATATTGATGATGCTGTGCGAAGTGTATTCTGGTATATGGTGGGAAAATTTTAAAAGTCAATGTCGCCTCATGCTCTGGTTCACTCGCTGCTGTTGAACCTGTTGCACAACAATAAAGGATCTAAGTCTACGGACTGCTGTTTTGCTCCAAATTGCTTGGCTGGAATTTCCTTCTTTACTGACCACATGGATCCATGGGGGACTTGTACCCCGATGAGCTGCGCTGTTGAGTATTCTCTCAACCCAGAATTTTCCTTAACAGAGCATATATGGGGTGGATGCTGAACCCAGAGATGATGTGTGCATGCTGCTGCTACAAATTCAGGATTGGCTTGAACCTTTCAAGCTAAGAAGAAGCAACAGGCAATCTCAGAGACACATTTGTTAGAGCTGGTGTTCTTTCAACAAAGGTAAGCTCAATAAGGTTATATTATAAAAAGTCTCCTCTTATATTCTTGTTTACAAGATAGTAAAACATGGGCCGGAGAATGCTACTGTTAGGTGATCCCCACAGCCAGATGACTAACCAAACCCAACAAGGGTTTATGAATGACTCTGTTTCCAGGGTTGCAGATCCAAAAAATCAACACTTCCAATATGGGCTGCCATATGTCCAGATTTTCCCAGACATTTTTGCCACTTTTCAAAAATTCTGCCCAGTCACTATTCTTGACAGACGAATCCATGGTATGTCCAAGAAATTCCAGGTGTATGACACCTCTGTCTTATTCCTTCCTCCGTCTTCTGAAAGTTAAAGTCATATGCAAGGCAAGGCAAGTGTGTATTGGATGTTCCATTCCTGGCAGAGGTGCACTTCCAGCAGGTGTCAGGATAGTTGAAATTGGAACGGTGATATACAAATGTACAGTGACTGAGGTTTGACATAACAATCCCAAGACACGAAGCCAGCCTCCCCCAATCTGGTGCCCTCAAAGCATTTTGGACTACAACAACATCCATCAGATGGCCACATATCCTTTACTTCAGCTTCCTGTAACTCAGTGTCATGCTGGTTGGGCCTGATGGGAGTTGTAGCCCAACACATCTAGAGGGCACCAGGTTGAGGAAGCTGAAATGCAAGTGAACAGGCACCATGGAAAGAGCTACTTTTCTACAGAGCCTTTCCCATTCACTTTTGTCTCTGTCCTTATCTTGACCCCTTGGAGAGATTTCCATTATGTCCCATAAACAGAAATCAAATATTTGCAGCCAGCATTAAGCAATTTGTGTAGGGTCAGGGAGTCCAAGATCTAAATCCAGCCTTCACCATTAGAAAAGGATTTATTGGGAAAGCCCCAGGGCTAGAGACTGATCCAATTACCCACAGTGAGCTGCAGGAATACTGTAGAAGGCTTCAATCTTCCTCAGCCATATGGAACTACTATTCATTTTTCTGTTATTCTGTGCCGTGAATAAACTGCATCATGGGCTTCTACAACTCAGATCGGGGTCAGCAAACTTTTTCAGCAGGTGGCCGGTCCACTGTCCCTGAGACCTTGTGCGGGGCCAGACTATATTTTGAAGGGGGGGGGAAATGAACAAATTCCTATGCCCCACAAATAACCCAGATGCATTTTAAATAAAAGGACACATTCTACTCATGTAAAAACACGCTGATTCCCGGACTGTCTGTGGGCCGGATTTAGAAGGCGATTAGGCCAGATCCGGCCCCCGGGCCTTAGTTTGCCTACCCATGACTTAGATCCACGCTATACATTAAAGTACATGGCTTCACCCAAAGAATCCTGGGAACTGGTATGGATGTGACAATGAGGGAAGAGCTCTAGGGAAGAGCTGATATCAATATCCATTTATATCAGGCAGGGGACTTCACTATACTCTTTTCAGTGCCTACTACAAACATTATTGTTCAGATAAGCCCATTTAGAAAACTGATGTGAGTTTTAATGTCAGTAGTGACGCCCTCCCTGTGGAACACCCTCCCTTCAGATATCAAGGAAATACAAACAACTATCTGACTTTTAGAAAACATCTGAAGGCAGCCCTGTTTAGGGAAGTTTTTAAGGATGGGTGTTTTTATTATGTTTTTAGATATGTTGTAAGCTGGCCAGAGTGGCTAGGAAAACCCAGCCAGATGGGCTGTGGTATAAATAATAAAATCGTTGTTGTTGTTTTTACTATCTGAAGTGTTATTTTAACTGTATTCAAAAGTGCTAAATTATTGTTAATTCTTATTGACAATTTCATTATGCTATCTTTTTTGTAAGGCTTTTTGAGGTTTTTGTTTTTTAAAAATAATACAGCAATGTATGTTGTTGTTGTTTAGTCGTTTAGTCGTGTCCGACTCTTCGTGACCCCATGGACCAGAGCACGCCAGGCACCTCTGTCCTCCACTACCTCCCGCAGTTTGGTCAAACTCCTGCTGGTAACCTCGAAAACACTATCCAACCATCTCGTCCTCTGTCGCCCCCTTCTCCTTGTGCCCTCCATCTTTCCCAGCATCAGTGTCTTCTCCAGGGATTCTTCTCTTCTCATGAGGTGGCCAAAGTACTGGAGCCTCAGCTTCACGATCTGTCCTTCCAGTGAGCACTCAGGGCTGATTTCCTTAAGAAGGGATGCGTTTGATCTTCTTGCAGTCCATGGGACTCTCAAGAGTCTCCTCCAGCACCATAATTCAAAAGCATCAATTCTTCGGCGATCAGCCTTCTTTATGGTCCAGCTCTCACTTCCATACATCACTACTGGGAAAACCATGGCTTTAACTATACGGACCTTTGTTGGCAAGGTGACGTCTCTACTTCTCAAGATGTTGTCTAGGCCTGTCATTGCCCTTCTCCCAAGAAGCAGGCGTCTTTTAATTTCGTGGCTGCTGTCACCATCTGCAGTGATCATGGAGCCCAAGAAAGTAAAATCTCTCACTGCCTCCATTTCTTCCCCTTCTATTTGCCAGGAGGTGATGGGACCAGTGGCCATGATCTTCGTTTGCAATGTATAAATTTTATTAAATAAATGAACCGACCAAGCCCCCTCGCCCCACCCCAGTTATGCAGGACATGAGAGAGGCGTGACACTCAGACACTGCCTGCATCACTTAATCTGGAGCAGTTATGGCCTCCCTCCGTGGTCCCAGATTAGGAAAGCCAGCTAGCAAACCTAAACCACGCCAGAAGAGGAACTTTAGGGCGTCAGCTACCCCGTCGACTTAATCCGAATTAAGAGGGGCGGGGCCGGAAAGGGGCGGGGCCGTGACGCGACCGCAGCACTCCTTGGGTCCCTGGCGTCATCGCTGGCCGCACTCGCGTTTCCGTGGTAACGCGCCCTTCCTCAGTCAAGTGGCGCCGTGAGGCTTCCGGCGCTCTAGGAAAGGACTCGCCGTTCTCCGCCCGCTTCCGGATCCGTCATGGCGGCGCCCTAACTTGGAGTCACGTGAGCGAAAAGCGGCCTGCTTCTGGTGCTGTTGCCAGGCAACGCGCCTTCCCCAACCCCGGCAACTGCTTCAATGGATGGGGCGGGGGTCGCTCTGCTAGTTCTCTTCTCTTGAAGGCCGTTGCATGTAGCTCTTAAGGGGGGGGGTTGACGGGAGCGGGGCGGGCTGTGTTCTGGCGCCGGATCTGCCCCTTCCGCCAAGCAAAAAGGAAACCCCCCACAGCCCCCCTTCAGCAGGGCCGCTCGCGGGTCTTGGGTTTAAATGGCATCAAACGTGGGAAGACGGGCTCTGCCCCAAGGAGCCTGCAGTCTCCCAAGTCCCATCATCCCTGAGCATTGGCCATACTGGGTGGGCTAATGGGCGTTATTTATATGCAGTATTTTGTAAAATTTATACACAACTGGATTGTGAAAACGAACAAACCTCCAAGCGGTTTACCAAAAAAACCCCATAAAATCATCAGAAATTACTAACCATAATTTAAGACCTTTGAAATGTTATCTTTTACCCTATCTGAGTAGGCTTGTCTAAACAAGAATGTATTTAGCAGGTGCTGAAAAGAGTGCTGTGAAGGTGCCCTTCTGATATGAATAGGCAGAGTTTCAAAGAGTATTTTATTGTTATTTTTTAATTTATTAGATTTAGATACCGCCCTTCATCAAAAGACCTTAGGCGGTTCACAAGATAAAAATACAAGATAAAAACACAGATAGTTAAAGTAAAAACCATAAAACAATATAATATTCATTCTACAATTACTGTAGAATTTTAATCAGCCAAAGTCAAAAGTGTAGGTGCTGCTGCTCTAAAAAATTGAGTTCTTACCAGTGGGGGAGAAGTATTCTGTGGCACCTGTAATAGTGCCACTTGGGCACAGCTATTCCCCATGCCCTGCGCTAAAACAAGACATACAACATTGGGAGGGGGAACAGGATGAAACGGTGCCTGAAGGTGTGGAGAAGGTGAGGAGGGAGTTTGCCTGCTTCTCTCAGTCATAAGACTGGAACTCAGTGGGGACATGCAAGAAAGCTGGAGGTTGGGAGATTCAGGACAGGCAAAAGGAATCAGACAAATTCAGGGAGGACAAGGCTATTGATGGCTACTAGTCACAATGACTATGCTCTGTTTCCACAGTTAGAGGCAGTAATGCTTCTGAATACCAGTGGGTGGAAACCACAGGATGGAAGAGTGCTCTTGTTCTTGAATCCTGCTTGTGGGTTTCCCATTGGGATATCTGTTTGGCTGCAGTTGAGAACAGGATGGGCCATTGACTTGATCCAGCAGACTTTCCTTATGTTCATATCCTGATCCAAGAAATAGGTCCACCTGCTCACACACCCAGCTTAGAGGCCAATATCCTGGCAAGTTTTATGGGAAGCTATGAATTGGCAAACCAAGAGATCAGCGCCAAACCTTGGCACACAATGGGTGGGGCAGGAAGCAGGCACAAAGCTTGTTCCTGGACTGTTAGATACAGCCTTTCTTTGGTGGTATATTTGTGGGGGTTCCCTGCACTTTTTCCCTGTTGGAATTGGCTCCTCTTTAATCAGCTGCTTTTTGGATTTTGTAGGGCAGGATGGACTTCTTGAGCCTCTTCCTCCTCTATGTGTTTCTGGTTCTGCTGACCATTCTCCTTGTTTGTTTCTATTCCGGAAGGAAGCAAAGCATCCCCTCAAGGCTTATCACCTGCATAACTCAGGTAAGGAATGTTTAAGCTGATCACATCAGTTTGTCACCCCACTGCTGTGCCCACTTGCCAACAGTGGTACTTAAAATTTGCCCGCAAGGTTTCTAGCATGATGGCAAGTCAGCTTCCATCCCACCAATCTATTTCATGCTGCCAGAGGAGCATCTACACAAAATGGTGATGTTCAGTCTGTGTGTCAATCCTCTTCTTCCATATTGCAGGTAAAGGCAGGTGTTCCCATCCATCATTGGCTCTTCAGTCTTGTGATAGAACGAAAGCATTTTTCTATGCCAAAGATATCATGACTTGTATGTGAAAGAGAAATGACTAGTGGTGATTATTTACAGTGGAGCCTCGCAAGACAAAATTAATTCGTTCCGCAAGTTTTTTCTTCTTGCGAGTTTTTCGTCTTACGAAGCACGGTTTCCCATAGGAATGCATTGAAAATCAATCAATGCGTTCCTATGGAAACCGCCTTCAGACCAGGTCCAGGGACAGTCTGTCCCCCGACCTCTTCTGAAGGCTGGGGGGGGGGACAAGGGCTTTTCTTCCCACCGCCAGCCTTCAGAAGGCTGTTCTGAAGGCTGGCGGTGGGAAGAAAAGCCCTTCTCCCCACCTCCCGCCCCACAAGCTCCGGGGACAGGAGGGCTTTGCTGCCGACTGCCAGCATTTTAAAAGCGGTCCGGGATAGCGGGAAAGCGCAGCGCAATTCCCTGCTATCCCGGACCGCTTTTAAAATGCTGGCGGTGGGGAGCAAAGCCTTTCGGCCCCCGCCGGCCTTCCTGGACCTCTTCTGAAGGCCGGAGGGGGGGCAAAAGGCTTTGCTCCCCACCGCCAGCATTTAAAAGAGGTCCCCGGAGATTTCCCTATGGGCTTTCTTCTTGCGAAGCAAGCCCATAGGGAAATTCGTCTTGCGGAATGACTCAAAAACGGAAAACACTTTCGTCTTGCGAGTTTTTCGTTTTGCGAGGCGTTCGTCTTGCGAGGCACCACTGTATTTACATTTAACAATTTACATTTAATACACACACACACAAAATAACTACAAATAGGCACATAAACAGCCAGCAGTAAGAACAGATAAAGGTAGAGCATGACCAGTGGTTACAGATGATGGGAACTGGAATCCAGCAACACCATGAGGCCCACAAATTCTCCTCCATCTCCATTCTCTTTAGAAGAGATGCAAATGCCATTTCCTAAAAACAGCAAAAGGGGTAGACTTGAGTCTGGGTTGTACCATTTCAGTAGTGCAACTAAGGAGCTCATGGGAGTGGATACTTCTCCATACAATTACAAAAATCTTTACACATAGAAAGCCAAACGTTAGGAATTCTAGCTCAATCTTCTCTGCTATGAGCTAATTTTATATGTGGGTGAGTTTTCTGTGGGAGGAAGATTTAGTCTTTTGAACCCCACTGGCAATCTGAAGTGGTTCACCCTCAAAACCAGTTTGAGAACTAGACCTTCATGCCAAATAAACAGTTTCTGAATTCTTCCAGTCTCAAGAATCAGTTAAGAAATGCAGCTGGATTCTGTCCATGTGGCACTTACTCTGTCGCCCCAAGAATGTAAAAAACTCAATCACTGGGGATGTTTTATTTCCCGCTTTAAAAAAAAATTCCTCCCTCCCCCTTTGTCTTCTGTGATGTAGGTGCTGTTGCATATAGTCCCATCCCAAGTCCAAGGAGCTGCTCATTGGGTGCTTCATGGACTCTTCCATAAACGGTACCGCTTCTACCCCTTCTTTTGTGCCTTTTCCTTGCCTGTCTGGTTGTTAGCACTAACATTTTCGTTTTATTTATGTCACTTTTTAAATTACCATTTCAATTTATTACCATAAGGTTCCAGGATGCAATGTTAAAACAATTTAAAACAAGCCACAGACATGAGAATAGGGTGAGTCACAAAAACATACATCTCAGATATCAAAGGCAAGGGGAAGGAGGTGTGTATTTCTATGGTGCCTATCAGTTGCCTTTTCTAAGGAGGCTCACTTCCACATTAAGACACAAAGTATTACACCCCTAAAGTCATAGTGTAAAACTCTTTGAATTGTCATAGCTTTGCAGAACGGCTCCCAAAGATGGCTTCCCTGTGCTTTCCAAGAGTGCAGCAGGTCTTTTACATTCCTGGTTCTCTGTTGTGCACTGATGGCCATGCTGGTTGGGGCTGCAGGGAGTTGTAGTTGGAACCATCTGAAGGGCTCCAGGTTAGACAAGTCTGTTTTAAGCCATGATTTTTCTGTATATCTTGGGTAACCCTTGGAGATGGAGAAACTTCCCTTTTTTATCTGGGTGACTGTTGCCAAGACTGGCTGCGTAATGGCGTCCGCTTCACCATTCAAGGAAATGGAGTGGCATCCCAGCAAAAATATATTTGAATTAAAAAGAAAACATGGTAATGCAAATTATTGATGAAGGCATTATGTTTTGGGTTACATACAGAAAGTGACACACAGGAAGGAACTATCAAGATAATGGGAGACAGAAACAAATAAGAGTGAGCAAATGATTTAGTAATGTGATATATCTACAGCACTGTTGCTTTTACTCCAATTTAGCAAATGCAGGTATTTTTGCTTCATTTCCTGGTTGGATTAAAGTTTCTGCATTCAGAATGTCACTGATTTCATCCAGCTCAAGAGAAACAGCAAGGCTGACAAAGGTAGTCTTATTGTACAATCCTGTGCATATTTATTTGGAAGTGTGTTTAATGGGGATTACTCTCAAGTCTGTTTAGGATGGCAGCTTTATTTCTTTTATTACAGTTTTCAAAACAGGACCAGTTAGGAGACCAATAGCTTAATTTGGCTTTTAGGTTTCTCTGAGGACAGTTACTCTTCACCTCTAAAACACCTTAGGCTGCAATATCCAGTGCAAAATATCACAAGCCTGATATATTTCTGAGTGGGAGTCTACCCTTACGCACCTCTTTTCTTTTTGCTGCAGAAACTGTACATTTGTGGTCCTGCACTTGCTCTTGGAAACTTTGGTTTATGGGGAATATTCCTGGGAAGTGTTTGGCTATTGTCAGGAGCTGGAGTTCAGCAGTCACTTCCTCTTCCTCCCTTACCTACTCTTGGCTGTGAACATAGGTTTCTTCATTCTGTGCTGCAAGACTAACCCAGGTAAGACTGCTTTCCCTGCAATTGTAACTCTTGGGCAGCGGGGAAGTACCCCATAAATGGCCTTGATTTCAGCGGATAGGGTGATGAACCTATGCCTGCTTCCAGTTAATATAAGACGCCCATTATAAAACCTTGGAATACAAAGAAATGAGCATTCTTCTTCAGTTGCTCTGTGACCTTACAAAAAGCTTCAGTTGGGTAGATTCTGCAGCTAGATTAGAGTTTTGGCTGGTGCCCTACCAATACCGTTTATGCCATCTTTTGCCAACTGGTGCCCTCCAGATGCTTTGAACACCCAGGCAGCACAGCTGGTTGATGGGAATTGTAGTCCATACAAGGCACCAGGTTGGCAGAGGCTGCTCTATACACACATACACCAAGGATGCATGGCTACCTCCTTCCCACTGAGTTATCTTTGGATGGCCAAAGCAGGCACCTCTCTGGAACATGCAGACTAGGTAATTCCCACCCCTCTGCAGGGAAGTTCCTTCACAGTACCTCTCTTTTAGTTCAGTTCATTTATCTTGTGTACATTACTTTCCAGTTATTTCCTCCTTTCAGTTTTGCTTCATAGTTGGTCACCCTTTGCTGTGTGCCTTTGCTATTTGCCGAGCTTTATGGCCCAGCCAATTGTCTTCTTTCGCAGCAGTCGCAACCTGTCTCCGGGGTTTTGGAGAGTCTCACCAACACGTGCAAGCACTATTATGCCTTCACCAAGCAGTTAAACTACATTATTTGCTCTCACAGGTCTTAGGTGGCCTAAAACGGGAATTAGACAAATTTGTGGAGAATACTAAGGATATAAGTGGCTACTAGTCATGATGGGATGGCTGCATACTGCCTCTGGTGTCAGAGTTTGTTATACCTTTGAGAGAGCCAGTGTGGTGTAGTGGTTAAGAGCGGTAGTCTCATAATCTGGGAAACCGGGTTCGAGTCTCCGCTCCTCCACATGCAGCTGCTGGGTGACCTTGGGCCAGTCACACTTCCTTGAAGTCTCTCAGCCCCACTCACCTCACAGAGTGTTTGTTGTGGGGGAGGAAGGGAAAGGAGAATGTTAGCCGCTTTGAGACTCCTGAAGGGGAGTGAAAGGCGGGATATCAAATCCAAACTCTTCTTCTTCTTTGAATGCCAGTTGCCGGAGAGCACAACTGGGGAAAGCTGCAGCTTTTGCACTCAGGTCCTACTTTTGGGCTTCCCATTGGGGCACAATTAAAAACAGGATGCTGACTTAGATGGACCCCCTTTGGGCTGATGTAGCAGGGCAAATTATTATATTTGCTGGATTTTGAAATCGGATGTCAGGAAAGAATCCTAGCAACAAGACACCATTTGCTACTTCCTTTCCTGGTCCAGGTACCATAACCAAATCCAACCAGGTGCAGTTTCTCCATGCATATGCCTATGACGGTGTGATGTTTGAGAAAGGGGTTGAGTGCTCCACTTGCAAAGTGAGGAAACCTGCCCGATCCAAGCACTGTGGTGAGTTTATATTATAATTATTCCCACATGACTGTATATGTGTGCCAAGATCTGCCTTGGAGGATGTCCATTTAATGGGTCCCATCATCATGGGCAGTGAGGCAGGTAGAGGCTGGAGACGGGGCCTTCTTGGTGGTGGTGCTTCAGCCCTTGAACTCTTTCCCAAGAGAGGCTCACCTGACACCAGTTAATGTCCTTTTGGCACAGGATGGAAACTTTTCCCCCTGGTCTTCTCTGGATGGTGTGTAGGTGGTCCCAAGTTCAACCATGGGATAAGGCCAGTCCCAAGGATGGGCTGGTCACATGACATAGGATTGTTAAACACCACTCCTGTCACTCTACCTCCATTTATTTTGCCTGTCTTGCCAGAACAGATGGATATCTCTTGCCTGCTTTGTCATCATGTAATAATCTGACCTTCACCTATGTTGATGAGTCTTTTTTCTTTTAAATAATTTTTATTATTTTCCAACACAAAAATACAATTATGCCAAATTTTCACAAATTTTCACAAATTTGATTCTTTTTAGACTTCCTTCGGCTTCTCTGACAGTAATCCATAATTAATTCTCAGTTTACGCATTTCTTTGTTTATATTGCCATTAAACTTCCCTCCCCTATGTTGATGAGTCTTGACAGAACTTTTGGTTACCGTTTTTGTTTATTGTTATTATTCTGTTCAATTTGTGTTGTAAAACACTCTTGAGAACATTTGTATCTTGGGACCTTCTAGGATTAAAAGGGTTTCCTCATCCTGCCATATGTTTCTGCTCTGGACCTAAAATCCTTGTATCCACTGTGTCCTTTTTCTAGGTTGACCCATCCCATTTTGCTTAGAAGGTGGCACCCTGCATTTGTGCTGCCCATCCCCCACTTACCATGTCCGCTGAAGCCCTGCTTACAGAGGTCACAAAGTTGAGGGCTCTGGTTCCAGTGAAAACCTCACGAAATCGTGCAGAGGCCTCACATGACCTTCCCCAGACCCCAGCTGCCTTGCTTAACAGAGGCCTCTGCATAATCTCGCAGGGATCTCGTGAGATTCCCCCTACAACCCAGAAGCTGCCACAGCTACAGATGTGCCCCTTGGATTCTGCCACCTGAGGCAGTTGCCTCAGCCTACCTGATGGCCTTGCCTTTTTAAAATGTCAAACACCCCCTCCCCCATCTGCCTTTAGCTCTGCTCTCACCCTGTGCATTGCTGGAGGCCTCTTCAGAAGAGATTTTGCACCAGGAGACCTGCCACATATGGTCAAATTGGGTCAAAAATCTTTTATTTGGTTTGCTGCTTTCTTTCCCTCCACTCATTCACACACCTTCCCCTTTAAACAATGGGGCTGTTATGAGCGACCCAGCATGCTAATAGCTCATGCCTGGTTTTTTATTTGTTTGTTTTAACTGGTATGTTTTAAACTCAGGAGGGTTATGGGTTGGTTTCTTGATAACCAGAACATCATGACCTTTCTTCTGGCTTTGATCAGGTGTGTGCAACAGCTGCGTGCATCGTTTTGATCACCACTGTGTCTGGGTCAACAATTGCATTGGTGCCTTCAACATCAGATACTTCCTGCTCTATCTCCTTACCTTAAACTCCATGGCTGTTTCCATCGCAGTCTTAACAGCCAGTTTCCTCATCCAGGTGGTCCTTCTGTCAAATATGATGCAGGGGTATTACACAGATGACCAAGGCCAGGAGCGCCCGATTGATGCCTTCTTCCTTATTCAGGTAAAAATTGACAAAGTGACGTGGGCTGCACCCAACTAAATCCTGCTCAGAGTAGCCCTGTTGAAATTAATGGACCAGTAGTTTCAGTGAGCCTGCTGTGAGCAGGGTTTAGTTGGATACAGCCCTTAATTTCTGATGCCTTCATCTGTATGTAGCTGTGGACTCCCTTGAAGGGAACAGCAAGCTTTTGCTGAAAGGGTCTCACTTCTTCTGATCTGCAGAATACATTTCAAAGCCTGAATGAAATTTAATCAAAAGAATCATTAATTTGGGGAGTAAATATGCCTTTCTGACGTTGACATTAAATTAACGTGCTTTTATTATCAAGGGGTGGGATCCAGCTAAACAGTTCCACTAGTCGCAAGCACTTTGGATGCAGTGGAACTTCTTTTCCCCACCTACCCCCTAAAGTTTAAGGCTTGGGGTGACCCCCAGAACAAATATAGGGGATGCATGGGGGTGGGATTCCATTGTGCAGTCAAAAATGCTAGCCATAGTGAAACTGTTCAGATGGATACCACCCAAGAAACTAATAGTATGCACCTTCTTGAGAATAGTTGTTTTACAAAGCTACTTAGATGTGCATTTGTTTTTCTTTGATATAAGGGCTACTGGTACTAAAAGCAAAAGATAAGTGCGTATTATATGGTGATCAGAGGAACTATGGTTAGTCTGGGTTTTCTTAGTAATTTGAATTTTAGCTTTTCTTTTACTATCAAGATAAAAGCTAAATTTTCAAATTATTCAAGATGCAAACTTACTGATCACATTGATCAAAGTGCAGTATTGACAAGCTGTCTACCATTGAAGGAAGAAGTAGGCACATGAACCACCAGGACAGGGGGGTTAGGCTATTCTTTGTGCATTTTGACTCCAGCTGGGTATTTTTCTCTTCGCAGCATCTTTTCCTGACCTTCCCCAGGATCGTGTTCATGCTGGGCTTTGTTGTTGTCCTTTCAATTGTACTGGGCTCCTATTTTTGTTTTACTCTGTATCTGATCCTGACCAACCAGACAAGCAATGAGTGGTTCAAGTCAGCAAGATATAAATGTTCATCCTCAGAGGACGACACCAGGCAGAGGGGTTACAAAAATATTTATTCTAGAGGCATCCAGGGCAACATCACAGAAATTCTTAAGCCTATTATGAGCCCTGAAAAAAAGCAAAGGTGAGTTGCCATTGACAGCAGTGGACTGTACAAATCTTAAATTTTTAATCTAGTGCAAGGGTAGTCAATGTGGTGCCTATGGGCATCCAGTGTGCCGGACACTACCTACCTCTTACGGGGCCTGTGAAAGGCCTTAGTTCTCATCACAATGCACAGAGAGGGTGTTTGCTCTTTCTGTGCTCTTTCTTTTTGCACTGTCTCAGCCTATCCTTCAGTGGCTGGCAGAACTGCATATAGTGGCCCTCCACCCATGCTCTTGGAAGTGGCAGCCATCTCCAAATGTGCCTACTGGCCCCAAAAGGTTAATGACTCCTGACCTTACCTGTTGAGTCAGCCTTGCAAGCAAGCCCCAACATACCAGTGCAACTGGAGTAAACATACCTGTTTACTGCTAGTGTCTGGCTGAAATGGAAGCTGAAGCTTCAGTTTGTGGTAGGGACAAGGAAATACCATATTTTTCGCTCTATAGGACGCACTTTTCCCCCTCCAAAAATGAAGGGGAAATGTGTGTGCGTCCTATAGAGCGAATGCAGGCTCCCTGGCTTCAGCGATAGCAACCCGAAGCCTCCGAAGCCTGTGCTCTGGATGCTTCGCGTTGCTTTTGCTGAAGCCAGGAGAGTCTGGTCTTTAAGGCTGGCGGTGGGGGAAAGCAGCACTTCCAACCTGGTTCGTGCAGTTCCCAACCTGGTTTGGAGGCTGGCGGTGGGGGAAAGCAGCGCTTCCCCCCACCACCAGCCCCACAGGCTCGGGGGGCAGTGGGAAGGCGCGCGACGGGGAAGGGCTTTTCAACTGAGCCTGTGGAGCTGGAGGTGGGGGAAAACAGCGCTTCCCCCCACCGCCAGCCCCAAAGGCTCAGGGGGCAGCGGGAAGGCGCGCAACGCCTTTGCGCTACTCCCAGACCTGGTTTGGAGACTGGCGGTGGGGGAAAGCAGCGCTTCCCCCCACCGCCAGCTCCACAGGCTCGGTTGAAAAGCCCGCAGGAGCTGCGCGCTCTTTAAAGGGTGTGCGGCTTTTGCGGGCTTTTCTACGGGGGGGGGAATCCCCCCCTCGTAGAAAAGCCCGCAGAAGCCGCGCACCCTTTAAAGAGTGCGCTGCTCTTGGGGGCTTTTCCCCAAGGAGGGAAAAGGGACTGACTGGCCGAGTCAGTCCCTTCTCCCTCTTGTGGGCTTTTGCGGGAGATGGGGGAATTCCCCCACCTCCCGCAATAGCAGGGAGGAGGTCTGGGAGAAGTGCACAGGCTGCGTGCAGCCTGTCTGCTGCTCCCAGAGCTTGGGGGGGGGTGGAGATCATATTTTTTTCCTTGATTTCCCCCTCTGAAAACTAGGTGCGCCCTATAGTCAGGTGCGACCTATAGAGTGAAAAATACGGTAACCTCTAGAATACTGCACTGCAGATGGTTGGATTATAGATGATCCTCATGGTGCCCTCCAATTCTATGATTCTGATTAGGAGCCCTAAGCCCCTGCTTGCTTCTTGAGACTTTAGGCACTACCCTAGTTTCCAATCATGAGAACTAGAAACTTGTTAACTGGAATAATCTAAGGCTACTGACTGCTTTTGCACAACTAACATTCATTTCAAGAGTCTGGCATATACAGAGTCCTGCTGGATTACATTTAATCTGTAGGATAAGAGAAGTGACAGCTACTTTTTACCAGAACAAAAAACAAATAACCAGCTTTCATCTAATAATACCTCTCTTTTTATTATATCAGAATTTTGTAGAAAATTATGTATTTTAAAAACATTTACAAACTGTACAATAAGCAATTAAATGTTACATGGTTACAAAATGTACATTGTGGCCTTTATGTAGCAGTTGCAGGATATTAAGATAACCTGTTTTCCTGTATAGTAAAGCATTTTCAAACTTTTCTTTAAAGTTTGCGTCCATTATGAATAGCTTACATTCCATGCCTTATTTGGACTTACATATGAAAGGCAAGTAGGTGCCCCAGAAAGGAGGCCTCTGGTTGCATGGCATAGTGTAATTTCCCTGCAAATTTCCCCACCATCCATTTTTTCTCCTCCCACTAAGCTAAGATTAAAGTGCTTCGCTCCATCACTGCCTGATTTCAACAAGCAGCAGCTGAGCACAAGTGCTATGGACACTAGTCATCAAGCCCTTTGGCACCACCAGAGTGCCCCAGCCCCATGTGACATTTTCCACAGTGCTGAAGACCACCCACAGGGCAGCCTCCAGAGATTGAATGTAGATATGGCTCTCCCCTGGTCTAGACTATAACAGTCTGAACCTCCACTTCCTCCTCCTGGGTGGCAATCACAAACTCCCCCGTGTGCTCCATTATTTCAATGTCTTCGGATGCCACCATTGTCACCGTTGCCTCTTCAGCCTCGCTGCTCCCCTCTGTGGCCAACACAGCTCCTTCACCAATGGCTGAAGCCAGCGTCATGGCAACCTGCTCCGTGAGACTCTCGGGAGTTGCTATGGCAATTGTGTCTGCATCTGTGCCGTCGGGTGTCAAGGCAGAACTTTCTGCCACAGTGACATTCTGGACAATTATCTGATGGCCAGAATTTGCTTGGTTGACGATCTGCTGAACTACTTTCATGATGTGACTGTCCACCTGCATGGAAGGAAGGAAATACACCAATGATTCAAAGCCAGATTTGCACCCACTGTATCAGAGTTGCTGCATGTGTAGTTTGAGTCCAACAGAGGATGAAAAGCGTGGCGTACATTTTCATGAACAGCAGCATTCCTCAATGCCCTCCAAATGTTTCAGAATACAACTCCTAGGCATCACAGCCACTCTTTTAAAAATGTGTCCAGAGATAAAGAAACAAAAACCATGGAGCCAAAAAGCCCTAAGGGATGGGGTATGTCAACTGCTTGACAATGAACAGATGTTAGTTCCTTTCACCTATTCTATGAAGTGCAAAGAAATATATAAGTAGACACAAATCTGACATGCTGTCCAGCTCCAAACTAGCAAGTTCTTCCCTCCTCCAGCAAAATAACAGAATGGCTCTTGCTTTAAAATAAAAGTCGCTTTAAGACCAAATCACTTGCTTTTCTTTCTCAGTGCCAGGAACTAGGGAGGTTCTCCTCTCTGAAAGGGGTTGTGGAACTTTGGGAAGTGGACACAGAGCACCTGTGTTGCACACAGAAAACCTCAGGTTCAATCCCTGGTGGATGGCAAAGACCTTTTTCTGCCCTAGATCCTGGAGGGCAGACCCGGCAGAAAGCAGCTTCCTAGATCCACTCTCCCACCCAAGAAGGTATTAAACAAACAGGCTGCCTAGTCTTTTGTGTGTGTGTGTTTTCTACAAAGACATCTCTTGGTAATTTTATCAATGAATTAATCACTTCAAGCTTCAAAGATTTTAGTAGCAAGGATTGTAAGGAGCCTCTTCAGGGAGAGCAACCTACCTCATGCCTTGTCCCTTCTATGATTTCAGCAGCTTCCGTGGTTTCCATCTCTTCGGTAGCTGTCTAAAAGAGAGAGAAGACAGATTTCCCCTAAAGCAGGAACTTTACTTTGCAGTGTAATCACATGCAGGTAATGTCCTCAGGAATGCTCTTTGCTCCAAGCACAATCTACCACATACCTTCTGCTATGCCTCTCAGGCTCAGCCAGCACAGCCATAGGATGCTGGTGCTCATAAAAATGGTTCAAAAAGTAGAATGAACTGGGCTGGTGAAGCCTGGCCTATTCTATTCAGAAGCACTTGACAGATTACAGTCTGGCTCTCGATGCCCCTGGACAAACCACAACTGAAAACCTCCCACCAACCCTGCAGTGTAGGAAAACTTAGTTTTCTCCAAGAGATTTTCCCTCAGTGCTGCTCAGCTACCTCAATGATGTACTCTTGCGTATCTGCCACCACCGAAGAGAACTCCACGAGGACTGTAGGAGGATCTTCAGAAATGACTGTTGCAGCCAAATTGTCAGCAGACTGACCTTCCTCTGACACTGCTTCTTCTTCAGCTTCTTTCAAGGCAAGCAGACAGCCACCTAGGTGACGGATAAGGTAACTCTTGTCAAATTAAAGTAATTTCTGTATACTGTACATGTTCAATCCTGACATGCTCAAGTCTCCTATCAAAATAACCTCTGTCTAAAAAAAAACCCCTCTGTGCCAAGGAATGCCAAATTCTTGGCCCCACTGTTTGCAAATATAGCTTGTTTCCTTATTCTGGATTATTTGTTCAGGGAGCAACGAACTATTATATATTTTAAAATATTAAGCTATTTATATATGCTTTTAAACAAATACTCAGCCACTACAAGAAATCCAGTTCTCCCCACCACCACAGATCAAAAGATCAACCAATATTCTGACCTCTAGAAACTTCACCAGGAAGGTTCTGCACCCGCCTCCCAACCTCTTGGCCTCTAAATCTTATAGCACTCTACAGAGATGGCGGGCGATGGGGTTGCCAAAAAGCTTCTCCTATTCTAGAAGCTAGCACATGTTGTCCTTGGCTCCAGCTTGCATTTTACATGAAAAAGAGACAGCTCCCTTACCTTTGGTCCTCAGGTGCCTGTTGAGGGTGCCATGCTCTGCAAAACCACGGCCACATTTGTAACATTTGAAGGGCTTCTCCCCTGTGTGGTGGCGGATGTGGCGCACCAGGGAACCCTTTTCCCGAAATCCCTGATTGCAGAACTGGCAGACGTATGGTTTGTCATCGAGGTGTGTCCGAAAATGCACCTGCTGGGCATTCTGCAGGACAGGAGAGCATGGAAGCCATGAGTGAACATAGACAAATGCAGCAAACTTCCTACACTGGACCTCCTGAGCAGACATAAGCATTATCCATCGCACACCACTCTTAAAAGTAAAAAAATAAATAATCATCTGCTTCACTTTGAGCACTTCACAAAGCTTCTTGTCTGCCAAGAGCAGTTTTTTAAATAAAGGACAGGTGACTCCAAGGCACTGGAGGCAGACTTGCTGCAAATAAAAATAAACCACCCAACTTTTGGCACAAAGCCCAGCAGAATCCTTGAGCAGTGCTCAGAAATTTTCATTTGAGCATTTTCGGGACACTCGGAGAACACTAGAGAAGCACTAGTGCCCTTTGGACAAAATGGAAAGCAATGCTCCTCACAAGTCTCCCAGTCACTTTGAGTGCTAATGCAAAGGTAAAATTGCTCTGCCCACTTTTCCCTACTGGCACATGGCCCTCCAAAACTCACCTAAAAGGGAATGCGGCCCTGGGGCTTAACCAGGTTCCCATCAAAGAACAAGTCCCAAAAGATGTGGGGCTCCTACCTTCGTCTTGTATCTCTTGCCACATTTGGAGCAAGGATATGGCCGCTCATCAGAGTGAACCCTCCTGTGTCCCTTCACATGCGCAATTGTTTTGTACAGCTTGCCGCAATCCCCACAACGGAACCGCCGCTCGTTCACGTGCACTTCCTGGTGTTTCTTCAGCAAGTAGCCCTTGGTGAATCCTTTGCCACACTCTTCACATGGGAAAGGTTTGTAGTCTGGGCAAGGGGTGGGAAGTTTCACAAAAAAGAGGATTGGAGCAGGCAGAATGTCCAGTATTTATG